ACAGATGTTGTGTGAGATGTGTGTAGAGACAGGGGTTGTGTGAGATGTGTGTACAGACAGTTGTTGTGTGAGATGTGTGTACAGACAGGGGTTGTGTGAGATGTGTGTACAGACAGGTTGTGTCTGAATTGTGTGTACAGACAGGTGCTGTGTGAGATGTGTGTACAGATAGGTGTGTGAGATGTGTGTACAGACAGGTGTTGTGTGAGATGTGTGTACAGACAGGTGTTGTGTGAGATGTGTGTACAGACAGGTGTCGTGTGAGATGTGTGTACAGACAGGTGATGTGTGTACAGACAGGTGATGTGTGAGATGTGTGTAGAGACAGGTGTGTGAGATGTGTGTACAGACAGGTGGTGTGTTAGATGTGTGTACAGACAGGTGGTGTGTTAGATGTGTGTACAGACAGGTGGTGTGTTAGATGTGTGTACAGACAGGTGATGTGTGAGATGTGTGTAGAGACAGGTGTGTGAGATGTGTGTAGAGACAGGTGCGTGAGATGTGTATAAAGGCAGGATGTGTCTGAGATGTGTGTACAGACAGGTGGTATGTGAGATGTGTGTACTGATAGGTGTGTGAGATGTGTATTCAGACGGGTGTTGTGTGAGGTATGTGTACAGACAGATGGTGTGTGAAATGTGCGTACAGACAGGTGGTGTGTGAGATATGTATACAGACAGGTGGTGTGTGAGATGTGTACAGACAGGTGTGTTAGGTGTGTACAGGCAGGTCGTTCGTGAGATGTGTACAGAAAGGTGGTATGTGAGATGTGTGTACAGACAGGTGTGTGAGATGTGTGTACAGACAGGTGGTGTGTTAGATGTGTGTACAGACAGGTGGTGTGTGAGATGTTTGTAGAGACAGGTGTTGTGTGAGATGTGTACAGACAGGTGTGTGAGATGTGTGTACAGACAGGTGGTGTGTTAGATGTGTGTACAGACAGGTGTGTAAGATGTTTGTAGAGACAGGTGTTGTGTGAGATGTGTACAGACAGGTGGTGTGTTAGATGTGTGTACAGACAGGTGGTGTGTTAGATGTGTGTACAGACAGGTGTGTGAGATGTGTGTAGAGACAGGTGTTGTGTGAGATGTGTACAGACAGGTGGTGTGTTAGATGTGTGTACAGACAGGTGGTGTGTTAGATGTGTGTACAGACAGGTGTGTGAGATGTGTGTAGAGACAGGTGTTGTGTGAGATGTGTACAGAAAGGTGGTGTGTGAGATGAGTTCAGAAAGGTATGAGTGTGTACATACTATGGACGGACATGTCAGAGGATGTGTGATATACTTTGATTTTATCGACGAACACACAAACGCACTTCATTTACAAGATCAACATACACTTACATGCACACTCCCATTTTCAAGAGGCCAGCGGATGGCAAGCTGGCCCAGTGGTTAAAGCGTTCACTTTTCACGGGTTCGATTCCATGCGAAGCCCTTCGTCGCTGTTCTCGGTCGTGATATTAAAAGAGTATTTCTAAAAGCAGCGTGATCACTCACTCACTCAGGCACACACGCTCTCACGCTCGTAACAAAATCAAATTAAATTCGAAACACATTCATTTGTGTTGGAATAAAGAGACAAAACCCTTTCCATTTCCAATAGAAATCTCTGCATTAAAAGCAGAGTCGATTGTACGATTCCGACCATGTCATGAGTATGTGTTTATGAGTCCCAGTCAAATAGAAATGAAACTAGGTGAGCGTATCCTGCCCCCGTCACAAACACATTCAAAGGCAAGTCAACTGTTCACCTGAAAAAAACCACGGGAACATATGGTACAAGTCACAATAGGGAATTGCAACGGACATCATTTTTGTCACTGATGCGTCACATTTGGAAATGTCCTCCACGTGTCTGCCATAAGTCACGGAGAAGTCAACCGCAAGGAGACATTTTATCTGCGTTTCCAAACTTAAACTGTAAAGTGTGGTATCCCTTACAAAACATACAACAACATCCCCAGGCGAGACAGGACCCGCCCATTGTGAATGACACGGTGATGCTTATCTCGTAATGTTACATATCTAAAAGTAACTTTGTGTTTCCGGGTCTTCCGCGGCTGTATTGAATTAGTCCTTCGTGGTCAAAACTCAATGTGTTGGACAATTCAATAACACCGCCATCGCAACAAACTGCAGGCTCATAGGGAGATACAGTGCAGCTGAAAGTTTGATGACGTCAGTCAAGTGACTGACAGGTAGAAATCCCTGGCACATTTCAGCCTGAAATAGCCACGCCTACCTGTCAGCATCTCCTAGTTCGCCGCTGTTGCACTGACGCATTTAGTATGTAATTTCTTCTTCGCTGTATCACATTCATACTTCCAATCTGGACTATATCAATCAGTGCTTGTGAGGAAAATAGTATCCCTTCTCCACGTTGTAACACAAGAGAGGTCTGTCTGGGTGTTGAGGAAGCAGTAGCTTGGTAATACTTTCCTCAAGACTAGGCCAACATTTAGTCTCTAAAACCAATTTTTTTAAGACATCAATAAGAGTATTTTTTCAGTTGTATGTTAATATATCATAGAAAGTAGCCCATAGAATATCTTCATTTTTACTGAAACTGAAGAAATATAAACTTAGCAAATAATTGTAGATGAGGCTTGGGATGTTTAGGATATGGCTTGCTTCGTCGTCTACATGAGAGACGTTCGAATCCCGTTCGCCCCGATTATGTTTCTAGGTTTGTCAGCACCATACCCGTGCTTGTGGGTTTCACCGAAGTGGTAAACGTCTAAGACCTGCATCACTTCGGGCTTTCCTCCCACATTAAGCTGACACGCCGTGTTATAACTGGAATACTGTTAAATGCAGCGTTAAAACCAACTCACTCTTGTTTGCGGGCTCAGACTAGATTATGGTAAGTCGTGATATAACTTGGACATTGTTAACAATGTTCACTCACTCACTCATGGGGCGGTCGGGAAGCCTAGTGGTTAAAGCGTTCGCTCGTCACGCCGAAGACCCGGGTTCGATTCTCGACATGGGTACAATGTGTAAAGCCCATTTCCGGTGTCCCCGGTATTGCTGGAATATTGCTAAAAGTGGCGTAAAACCACTCACCCACTCACGCACCCACTGATTTCAATCAGCATTACAACCTTGTTATTTCTGTGTTGGAATCAGTAGTTCTCATCAGACTAAATACCTTGATAATTCAATGCTGAATTCAAAATTTCTCATCAGTATGAATACTTGGTTATTTCAACTATTGGCACAAATGTTTTGCCTCAGGATCACTGGTTCCCACGAGCATGGCAATCTTGTTCTTTCAGTGTTCGGATCAAAGGTTTTCATCGGAAAATAAGAATTTGCTTTTTCAATACAGGCATAATAATGCATGGCTTAAGTTCTTGGATCATTGGTTCTTATCATGCTGTTGTCATTGGTTCTCATCAGACTAAATATCTTGATAATTCAATGCTGAATTCATATTTGTCATCAGTATAAATAGTTAGTAGTTTCAGTGAGTGAGTGAGTTGGGTTTAACGCCGCTTTTAACATTATTCCAGGTATATCACGGCGTGTCAGCTTAATGTGGGAGGAAAGCCCGAAGTGATGCAGGTCTCAGACGTTTACCACTTCGGTGAAACCCACGAGCACGGGTATGGTGCTGACAAACCTAGAAACGTAATCGGGGCGAACCGGGATTAGAACCCACAATGATAGGTTTCTGGCGTGTATAGGGGATGCAACTCTGCACAGCGAATCGCGGCTCCTTAGACGACTGGGCCACCGGTGCCCCCGTTAGTTGTTTCAATCTGAAACTAGTTCTACTATTATTACCGTCGTAATCTAACTGAAATATTCTTCAAAGCGGCATTAAACCCAACGCACTTGTGTATGGCGTCTTGCTGATACCCGTGCTGACAGTGATCACAGATACATGAAGTATTTGTAGTGTGAAATATACAGACCTTCATGTGCAAATGTTCAAAAACAGAAAATCCACCATCTGATTAACTAATCTCAGTTTAGCATCTATGATGATGATGCAAGTTGGAAAAAAATATAGCCATTTTCAACGAATGACTGGAATATGCAGTTATCTGATGTTTTCCTTTAATCTTCCGAAATAGGCCCGTTGTCACGATGTCATGAGTTCGGCAATTGCTTTATTTTGACATAAACTTGGTGCATGTTTGCAGATGTTTAATGATGTCTTATATCGCGTGGCATAAGTATCCGGACAGGCAAACTTTAAATATTTATGTACTAGGATGAGTATGATTGTTTGTGTTAGCTTTGAGGACTAACAGGACACCGGAGAGAATACATATACAAGTGGAGGCAAGTTTGTCAATTACCTGAGATGGAAATGTAAGCGTGAGTGTACACTATAAACGCGAACAAAGGAAAACGACGGGAGATATTTATAATCAGACTTTGTAACAAGAAAAACATTTTGCCAAGTTGCCGTTTTCAGGGGGATGAGTCAGAAAAGCACACATCACACATCCGTATTAAAATATGACAAAGATGCAGTAGCTCCAGTTTGTTTAAATATAGGTGGTGTGGTGATGTCTCCTTGACTAACCCCACTTGACTATCCCTCACTTTGCCCCCCCCCCCCCCCCCCCCCTTATTAGACCCCCCCCCCCCTGCCAGGCTCTGTTGGATAGGTATTTCTTCCATTATCGCCCTCGATCTTAACACATAAGCTACTGTGCATAGTTATCCCCCTTGGCTGCCAGGATGCGCTGGTTTTGGTTCCCAGTCATGCCTACTGAATGTCATACTGTGAAGGAAGTGTGGGTATTTTTACACTGTTGGTTGTGTTTTGCTGTCCTCACTAGACAAACAACCATTTCCAACCGACCTAAGTACCCTATCCATCCGATCACAACAATTTCCAAACGACCAAAGTACCCAATCGATTGATCACATTCATTTCCACCCGACCAATGTACTCCATCCTTCCATTGATAACAATCATTTCCACCCGACCAACGTACTCCATCCTTCCACTGAACACAATCATTTCCACCCGACCATGGTACCCCATTCATCATTCCGACCCACACCCTCCGCACTTAATCAACCTATCTATACACCTGATTCAATACCGCTGTGGCAGCTGAATGTCGCTGGGATATATCACTTAACACCAAAACCTCCCAATCCCACAACCCCCATCCACCCATTCCATCCTCCCCATCTCTCTTCCTCATCTTCCTCAGTACTGAGTAGACGTTTCCCCCAAACCGTTGTCCACTCCCCAGTGTACGAGTCCCCTCCCCAGTGTACGAGTCCCCTACCCAGTGTACCAGTCCCCTTCCCAGTGTACGAGTCCCCTCCCCAGTGTAAGAGTCCCCTCCCCAGTGTACGAGTCCCCTCCCCAGTGTACGAGTCCCCTCCCCAGTGTACGAGTCCCCTCCCCAGTGTACGAGTCCCCTCCCCAGTGTACGAGTCCCCTCCCCAGTGTACGAGTCCCCTTCCCAGTGTACGAGTCCCCTACCCAGTGTACCAGTCCCCTCCCCAGTGTACGAGTCCCCTTCCCAGTGTACGAGTCCCCTCCCCAGTGTACGAGTCCCCTTCCCAGTGTACGAGTCCCCTACCCAGTGTACCAGTCCCCTCCCCAGTGTACGAGTCCCCTCCCCAGTGTACGAGTCCCCTCCCCAGTGTACGAGTCCCCTCCCCAGTGTACGAGTCCCCTCCCCAGTGTACGAGTCCCCTCCCCAGTGTACGAGTCCCCTTCCCAGTGTACGAGTCCCCTCCCCAGTGTACGAGTCCCCTCCCCAGTGTACGAGTCCCCTCCCCAGTGTACGAGTCCCCTTCCCAGTGTACGAGTCCCCTCCCCAGTGTACGAGTCCCCTTCCCAGTGTACGAGTCCCCTCCCCAGTGTACGAGTCCCCTCCCCAGTGTACGAGTCCCCTCCCCAGTGTACGAGTCCCCTCCCCAGTGTACGAGTCCCCTCCCCAGTGTACGAGTCCCCTTCCCAGTGTACGAGTCCCCTTCCCAGTGTACGAGTCCCCTCCCCAGTGTACGAGTCCCCTCCCCAGTGTACGAGTCCCCTCCCCAGTGTACGAGTCCCCTCCCCGATTCAGCAAGTATTTCTACGCACCACCCCCACATCCCTCCTTTCCCGGCATGTCGCTGAGAGGCGAGAGGTGGGTTTACGTCATGTATACACGGAGCAGATTAACACCTACGCGTTGATTGAAATGTGCACACACACAGCACGACACTCACACACCGCCAACCTCGCGCGTTGATAATCTCCTCTCGTTCAAATCCCAATAAAGGACAACACGCGTCATACATTTCAGAGATAATAACTATCTTAATCATTATTAACTTATCCCTCCTGATAAATTTACAAACTTGAAATACTAATTTATAATCATAACCACATTTAACTGGATGGTGGGGTAACCTAGTGGTTAAAGCGTTCGCTCGTCACGCCAAGACCGGGTTCGTTTCTCCCCATGGTACGTGAAGCCCGTTGTAGGTATCCGCTGTCATATTACAGGAAGAGTGCTAAAAGAGATGGAAAACCATATTCACTCACGTTTATCTAAATTCCTAAAAGATTGATATACAGTCGAACCTTCCTTATCCGGAGACATTTCCCTTTTATTCAAATATTGTCCGGATAAACGAATATCCGGATATATGAATATATTGAAATTCACTGTCCGGATCCAGAAACCGGTTTTCTTGATAAATGAAACATTTTATGTGGTGTATATTTCGTTTCAAGTAAATATAGTCCGGTAGGAGAGGTTTCCGGATACCTTTGGTCCGGATAAGCAGGGTTCAATTGCAATAGGACATAATATATAATCATAATCTTATTTAAATAGGATTTCTTATTAATCTAAACCATAGAGTTCGCACGGTATTAGTTGCGAATTAAACCGTTATCTGTGTACAAGGAAGTACTTTGTAAGAAGAATTATACTGAAATAGACTCTAAAGTGAAATTAAATTTAAATGTATTTCGTGTTTGTTTTTGTGTGTTCACGATTGCTGTATTCTTTATGTAGATAACATCGTGTTCCTAATGATCCTTCAGTGTCATTCTGGCGGCGATACAAGGATGGTGTTTTAGGATGGAGTTGTGTAAGTATTTAGCGTTGTCTGTTTTTTCACGGCGAAAAATAACTCAAAAAACGTTTTCGTCCGAATTTCAATTTCCTGCCATTTGTACAGTTTGTGAGTGAATGATTAGTTTTTAACGCCACGTCAGGGTACAATGTGTGATGCCCATATCTGGTGTCTCCCGCCGGGATATTGGTGGAATAACGCTAAAAGCGGCGTAAAAACATACTCACTCACTCACTTAACGCCAAATCAGAAAGGGGGCGGTCGGGTAGCCTGGTGGTTAAAGCGTTCGCTCGTCACGTCGAAGACCCGGGTTCAATTCCCGACATGGGTACAATGTGTGAAGCCCATTTCTGGTGTCCCCCGCCGTGATATTGTTGGAATATTGCTAAAAGCGGCGTAAAACCATACTCACTCACCCACTCACCCAAATCAGCAAGCTTGCAGCTAATGTAGAACTTGTGTTTTGTTGTTGTTTTGTTTTGTTTTTGTTTTTGTTTTTTTTGTACTGCAGTATTCCAGCTATATGACGGCTGTCTGAAAAAAGTCTGGACTAGACAATCCAGTGATTGACATCATGAGCATCGATCTACGCAATTGGGGTAGGTTGACATTCATCAACCAAGTAAGCGAGCCTAACCACCCGATCCCGTTAGTCGCCTCTTACGACAAGCATGGGTTGCTGAAGAAACATTCTGCTTCCCCTGAGACTGTGTCTATTAATCATCTTAAATATATCGACATACATCATGATGCACCTGCATCATTGTTTGCGAAGCAATGACCCCTGACAATGTGACAAAAGATATTAATTTTAATATGAATCCCCCTGTGTCACGCACAACCTTATCGACATAGTGAATATGGTTTAATATGGTAATATGACAGTATGGAACACCACGAATAAGCTTCTATAATTACATTAATGTGGGAATTGAACCCGGAAGTACATTGTGACGAGCAAACACACCATCTACTGTGCCACCCAACTGCGGCTTAACGCTTTTCTTGTTATGTCAACACAATAGCTAATAACGCGTGTCTTTTTTCCACGAGCAGCTACTCGACTAACCTGTTTTATGGTTACATATAAGACAGACAAGACACTTACATCTTCTCATATCTCATGAATCCCATGAGGTGTACTTTATATGATCCCAAATCCCCACATAGGGTCACGTGATCTCTTGGCCCGAATAGGCTACACAAACAATGAACGACAATCCCATAGCGTTGTCAAAAAGATGATTCACAAACCCAATATTTGCAAAAATTTTGATACGCTTTTGTTGACGGTATCCAACGGATCTTTCCATTTTTTTTAATTTACGCATCATATTTCGAGTAAACAAACTGCGCCCCCATGCGCGGGCGCCGGAGAACTTATAAAGAGAATACAGCGTCAAGTTGAAAGAAACCACACGTTTTTGTCAGCTCATTGAATTCCAAACCGACTTAGCAGGGGACATCGAAACCCTCCACTGTTGCGTCGTTGAGGGCACTCTCAACACCTGTGTCTCACAAAAAGTGCTAAATACTTATTGCGAGATGGAAATTACGATTGGTATTGAGAAAAGACTATGCTATTTGAGAATAATGTGATTTTTCACGATACTGGGGCAAAAAATACCACTTTGCCTAAACTCATTATGTTTTTCATTGCGTTCACCTGCTTCTAAAATCATGTAATCTATAATATACATCTAGAGGTTGAAAAAAATGACGTTTTCGATGTTGGCTATTATTGTGACGAAACTTGTGCACCCTGGTGTACTTTTTATTATAAGGTTATACATCATAGTGCGAATTAGACCCGCGGTCACTTAAAGAAAAGTGTTAGAGGCACAGAAACTTCCCATTCCTTTAACAGGAAAGTTTTACTTTACCGGCATATTACGCTCTTACGCCGGGGATCGAACCACCAACCTTCCGCTCTCCCGGCAGACGCTCCATCCACTTCACCAAGGATGCGGTCTTGATTAAGAAGAACATAAATTATATAATGATTTCTTAGACGCGGGACCAGGATTGTAATGTTCATGAATGGCAGCTTTCTGCAAAACGTACAGGTAAAGGATGACGTTCTTCAACACGTACAGGTAAATGACGGCGTTCTGCAACACGTACAGGTAAATAACCGCGTTCTGCAACATGTACGGTTAAACAACGTCTTTCTGTAAAACGTACAGGTAAAGGATGACGTTCTTCAAAACGTACAGGTAAATAACGGCGTTCTGCAACATGTACGGTTAAACAACGTCGTTCTGTAAAACGTACAGGTAAAGGATGACGTTCTTCAAAAAGTACAGGTAAATAACGGCGTTCTGCAACACGTACAGGTAAATAACCGCGTTCTGCAACACGTACAGGTAAATGACGGCGTCCTGCAACACATACAGGTGAAGGATGACGTTCTGCAACACGTACAGGTAAATAACCGCGTTCTGCAACACGTACGGTTAAATTACGTCGTTCTGCAACACGTACAGGTAAAGAATGGCGTTCTGCAACACGTACAGGTATAAAGGATGACGTTCTGCAACACGTACAGGTAAATGACGGCGTCCTGCAACACGTACAGGTAAATGACGGCGTTCTGCAACACGTACAGGTAAATGACGGCGTTCTGCAACACGTACGGGTGAATGGTGGCGTTCTGCAACACGTACAGGTAAATAACCGCGTTCTGCAAAACGTACAGGTAAATAACGAAGTTTTGAAACACGTACAGGTAAAGGATTACGTTCTGCAACACGTACAGGTAAATAACCGCGTTCTACAACACGTACAGGTAAATGACGGCGTCCTGCAACACATACAGGTGAAGGATGACGTTCTGCAACACGTACAGGTAAATAACCGCGTTCTGCAACACGTACGGTTAAATTACGTCGTTCTGTAACACGTACAGGTAAAGAATGGCGTTCTGTAACACGTACAGGTAAATGACGGCGTCCTGCAACACGTACAGGTAAAGAATGGCGTTCTGCAACACGTACAGGTATAAAGGATGACGTTCTGCAACACGTACAGGTAAAGGATGACGTGATGCAACACGTACAGGTAAAGGATGACGTGATGCAACACGTACAGGTAAATAACCGCGTAATGCAACACGTACAGGTAAATAACGAAGTTCTGCAACACGGACGGGTAGATGACGGCGTTCTGCAACACGTACAGGTAGATGACGGCGTTCTGCAACACGTACAGGTAGATGACGGCCTTCTGCAACACGTACAGGTAAAGGATGACGTTCTGTAATACGTACAGGTAAAGGATGACTTAAGAAACATGAATACATACGCAATATTCTCCAATGAATTTCATTTGACAGATAAAATTAACTCGCGAAAATAACCCAAAAGTGGTAAACGATTCGGAAATTCGCACTCTCTGTTGAGCCTTGACTCTTTGTCAACAAATAACACACACGACGAAACCCGACACTCAAGTTTCATATTTAAATTTCATATTAAGACGCTATCTACCCGATTTATGTAAATTTACACACGCTCCAAATTAACCGCATAAGTGATTAATCTACATTTTCAAGCCGCCTTTACCACAACCCCGAATAATACGTGCAGTCATTCAGCCCGGTAGTCTATGTTTTCACGCACTCGTTCAATCCATATGGATAATAATCTGCACCCTCTGTTCCTGTAGCATCACTTAGAAACATTATCTGCACACCAAGTGCATCAGAAAAAGCTGAATACACAATCAAAGTATTCAAGCATCTTAAGGTCCTTCTATGAACTTGGAAATTTATTGAAATTTAGTATTGTACATATTTGCCTTCAGGGCATGGGCGTCTCATTATAAAGTTTATATTTCCCCAAAATAAAGCGACCTCTATACAGGTCCTATAATAGGGATGTTCAGGTGTGCGGTATAAGCTACGATGTAAGTTAAGGGTCCTTCCATTTAAAATATACATATATATATATATATATATATATATATATATATATATATATATATACATTCATACATACATACATACATACATACATACATACATATATATATATATATATATATATATAT